GTGAGAGGCAACACAAGCAGGGGGAGTGGGAGAGGGAGAAGCAGGCTTCCCGCCGAGCAGGGAGCCCGATGCGGGACTCGATCCCAGGAGTATGGGATCATGACCTGAGCTGAAGGCAGACGCTTAACGGCTGAGCCACCCAGGCGCCCCTAGACCTCAATTTAAATAGGGATTCCTTTGAGAGGAAGTATTACTAATCTAATGTGGCCATTTCTTATTATACCACCTTTTATATCACTTAATACCATCTAATATTTCCTTGTTTATATGTTTGTCTCTTCCAACTCGGTTTTAAGCTTTGTGAGCACAGAGACGTCTGTCACGTTCTTCGCTCTATCCCCAAAGCTAGAACAATACCTGAAACACATAGTATATGCATAATAAATATTTGTTGAATAAATTAATGCATTGATCATGATGATGACAACAAAATTTCAGACGACCTGGCCACAAATTCTAACGACTTTCTCAAGAATAAGAATCGCATTTCCGAAGATCCTGGTAGACTGTGGAAATCGACAATAAAAGATCTGGGGCCAAAGTCTGGGGGAAGCAGAGGTAATATATTGGAATTTGGGCCTTTTCCCCCCATCCAAGGCTCTCAGAGACCTCGCAGAAGGGAAGCCTAGAATCTTCCGAGAAGAAATTCCAGCCCAGCCACAACGAATATTTTTCCATCCACGATTCTTCGCAGCCACTTCTGCTAGGTTGAAAATGCGCAAACACCTCTAGGACCCCGGGCTCCTTTCTGTTTCTTTATGAATGAACCGGCTCTAGTCTGCGCAGGCGCAGCTCCTGGTTCTCCTGCTCCACGTGAGGCCCACCCTTCCCTCCCGCTGGCGGCCCCGCCCTTATTCTTTCTAATGAACCAATGGCGAGCGGCCTGGGGGGCGGAGCCCGGAGCGGCGCGGCACTGTAGATCCCCCGGCGCCCGGCTCCCTCGCGTTAGTCTTGCTGTGTTGTGATCACGTGGCCAGCTCCGGGCGCGGCGCTTGTTTTGGTTTCCCTCTAGCTTGTCCCTGGCAGCTTCGGGGTGAGCGACTTTGCTGTGCCGGTTGCTGCGCCTGCCTTACACTCTGATCTCCTCTTCTTAGGGCTCTTTCAGCCCGCAGTTCGGCAAGCCCCTCGGGGCCGGCTACTGCCATGCCGCTAGTTCGCTACAGGAAGGTGGTCATCCTCGGGTACCGCTCTGTAGGTGAGTCTCCGCCTTGGGGAGAGCACGGACGCACCGCGGCTTTGTGGCCAGAGGAGGCGCGCTGTCGCGGGAACGCGACCCAGAGAGGAATGGTGGCATCGTTAGAACGGGGTTGTAGGACGAGGATTGAAAGGATGGAGGAGGAAAGGCTGGGGTGGTGGTAGTGTGTGGAGGGCTGCAGGAAGTAGGAGCATGTAAGGGTTAATGTGGGCTTGGTTGCAGGAACACCACAGTGGTCCCCAGTGTTAACCTGGGAGGGGTAGGGATGGGGTCAGGCTTTGATGACGGGGGCGCGGTCTGTGTGGGTGGCAAGTCTCAGGTGTCCGGGCGCGGGGCAGACCTGATCTTAGGGGAATCCCGGATCTTCCCGGGGTGGGGTGGGGAAAGGCGGCAGGAAAGGCTTCCTGCGGCGCTACTGAATGCATCCGGTGACCAGGGTGCAGAGACCCAAGGCGAAAAGAGGGTGAGGGTAGGCTAAGGAAAAACATTGCATGGCACCCACAGGCTAGGGTGCTAATTTGGGGTCCTCTTTAGTCCTGGGCCACAGTCCGAAAGGACAGAGGATGTAAATGTGGATGGATGATTTGGATACAACTACCACTGCTTCCCACAGGGAAGACATCTTTGGCACATCAGTTTGTGGAGGGCGAGTTCCTGGAAGGCTATGATCCTACAGTGGAGAACAGTGAGTAGATTTCTCCCCTAGGGATGGAGCAGGGAGGTCTTTGTTGCCCCACCCAATTCCGTAATCTGGGGTTTTCCTGGTGCCAAGGGGCTGATTTAATTATCCATTAAATCTAATCTCTTCTCTAGCAATCCTGTTCTATTAGTTGAGCTAGAGTGTGGATTTTGCAGGATACTGCGTCCAGGATGGTGTAGACTAGACAATAAGAACCTTGACATTGTCTCTCCAGCTGCCTGGAGTGCTCCCTGGTCCTGGCCCATCTATATATCACCCCTAGAGTTAAGAACGCATTGGGGCACACATTGCTAGCCCTACAAGACACCTCACAGTCAAGTTTTCTTTTCTTTTCAGCTTACAGCAAGATAGTGACTCTTGGCAAAGATGAGTTTCACCTACACCTGGTGGACACAGCAGGGCAGGTACCAGTTTGGGGTAGGGTAATCTAAACGTGGCAGTTCAGTGGTGGGAGATGAAGTCTGGTTGCCTCCGTGGCTCATCTATCTGTAAAGTAGTTTTAAAACAAAAGCATTTTAGCAGCTGGTAGTGTGCAGTGCACATTGGAGCTACGCTGTAAATCCTTGTCGAATAGAAATGACTGGAGTAGGGAGTGCCCCAGGGAGGGTCCCCAGGATGCAACCCACCAACCTTTGCCATCTGAGTGTTGTGTATCTAGGTGTTGATGTTTCTGTTTCTTGTCAGGATGAGTACAGCATTCTGCCCTATTCATTCATCATTGGGGTCCATGGTTATGTGCTTGTGTATTCTGTCACCTCTCTGCATAGGTAAGTGACCAAGGTTACGAGTGGGGGCTTGGGAAGATCTGAGGGCTGTCCCCGATTAAGTTTATAGCTCCATTTCTTGTGTTTAAAGCTTCCAAGTCATTGAGAGTCTGTACCAAAAGCTACATGAAGGCCATGGGAAAACTCGGTAAGTGGCCCTGGGAGATAGAGACAGAGTATGGACATGAGGGGATGGAAGAGAGTGGAGGGTCCAAGTGAAGGAGGAGGCCAGGACAAATCCTGTCTGATATGCTGGGGAGTTGTCCAGCCCTGATGCGAAGGAAGTTGGGTTCCATGCGGAGTGAGAGGGGATCCTGTAGTAACTGCTATTTCTTCACAGGCTGCCGGTGGTGCTAGTGGGAAACAAAGCAGATCTCTCTCCAGACAGGTACGGAGATCTCTGTAGCTCAAGGCAAAGGAAAGTGAGATGGACTAGCAACCAGTCAGGCTCTAGTCCTGGCTCTGCCACTGACTTGAACAAATCATTTCACCTCTTCTCGTTTCTAACTTGAAGGTTAAGGCAAGATAACCCTTCTGTCGCAAAAGCTATAATTTAATATTTCAAGCTCAGTCCTAGGCTTCTGAGTTCTCCTTCCCCAACCCACCTCCCAAACCTTAGAAACGGGATGGGTCAGAGGAAGTCTAGATTCTGTAATGATTTTGCAGAGAACATGGGACATTGCTATCTTCCATCTTCATGTTCCAAATTTGCTTCTAGGGAGGTCCAGGCAGTTGAAGGGAAGAAGCTGGCAGAGTCCTGGGGTGCGACGTTTATGGAGTCATCTGCTCGAGAGAACCAGGTGCTTGACCTGAAGATTAGGGGCACAATCAGGGTAGCAGTGTTTTTCTTATGGCACTGCTTGGTGGTGAGGATGGTCGGGGAGTGGGGTATACACCTCAGAGCTGGGTCGTATTGGCAATGAACTGACTTCCCCCCCCACCCCGAATCTCTGTCCCTTGCAGCTGACTCGAGGCATCTTCACCAAAGTCATCCAGGAGATTGCCCGGGTAGAGAATTCCTATGGGCAAGAGCGCCGCTGCCGGCTCATGTGAGCCCTCAGGCATTGGGTAGCTGCCTTGATTCTGCCCCTGGCACTTGCCAGGCTCCAGCGGGTGTAGGCCCTTAGGACTTCACGGGTATGGTTGCCAGCTGTGTCCCCGGTCCTCTGGTCACACAGTGTGGTACCCTCATGTTTGCACACTTTTCCAGGCTCCAGTGGCCTGGTTGTCAATGTTTACAATGGGGCAAGGATGTCTCATGGGACTGGCCTCTAGTCCTCTGTTTTTGCTACATGAATTGTTATAACCTGCAGGGTTGGGATATGAGTCCGAAGCATTGTTTATTTAGGACCCTGTCTTCTGTGCAGGTTTTGGGCGTTGGCTGGGTGAGGGGAGCTGGGGATTCCTGAAGTGGAGCTGGCTCCCTAGGGTGACAATGTATATATGCAAATAAACTGAGAAATCTTTTTGTCGCTGGCTTCTCTGTATGTGGGGAGAGCTCAGGGCCAATATCTCCTTTTCCAATGAGTGGTGACTGTGACTTTTGGTGGGGAATAAGGGCTAACTCTTTCCCCCTACTTCATTCCTATTCCTTGCTCCTCACTCATTCAGGAGGACCATTACCCTAAGACTTACTCCTTAGTTTTTCTCACCTTTCTTTTCTGCTAGGTTCTCCTACACAGGTACCAGTTGGCTGCCACTCCATCCAAGATTGTAGACGCTCAAGGTCCCCTTAACTACAGAAACACCACCCTCTAGTGGCCAGCTGCTGCATGCTGACCTAGCTTCCCTCCTGGCCTTGGCATTCGCTGGCACTCAGAGAGACGCTAAGGTTTGGGGAGGAAGGAAGCCCCTCATCCTAGTGATGTAATAATTAAGGAATGTAGAGGCAGGGACTGAAGTGTTGGTGAAGATTTTGGCTTTCTAAGACAGTTGAGTAAAGTAAGAAATAATGCTCCTGGTGTATATCCATCTTTCCACTCCCATGTCCCCAGAGCCTTTCATTAAATCGATGTTCTTTGGTCTTTTCATACCTTGGGTGACCTTTTCACACCCTTCACACCTTTGGAATCGTGCCACTTTTTTAGGTGTCAAAGGGTATTGCTCCCATTTTTTTTTTTTAAGATTATTTATTTGTTTGAGAGAGAGAGAGCATGCGCGTGCATGTGCCTGAGCCTGGGGAAGGGAAGGGCAGAGGGAGAGGGAGAGAGATACTCTCAAGATTCTGGGGGCTCAATCTCATGACCCTGAGATCATGACCTGAGCCAAAATTAAGAGCTGACTGCTCAACAGACTGAGCCACCCAGGCGCCCCTACTTCTACTCTTTCTTCTTAACCTGCCATCTCAGTAAGAGGATGGACATTTCAGCAAGGAAGAATTGGTCCTATCTGCCTCTACTTTTTCTGCTCATCCACCACCCCCATCAGACCTAGGGCCTAATTGGCCTAATACCTCCTCCAAGGACTTATGAGTGTTACTGGAATAGTATCCCTCACAGGGAGAACACAGACTTCTCTTGCCACCTGGGGGAGTCTGAGGTACCCTGTCCATGCACTTAGTTGGGGAGGATGGGCAAAATCTTAGCTGTGATCTTGCTGGCGCCCGACTCTTGGCTAGCTGGGCTTAGAGTTGGGGTCATCGTGTGTCATGCTAGTTTTAGAAAGTTCTGCCAGCTGCTTTTGCATCTCTAATCTAGAATCTAAAAAATAAGGGCTGCTGGAAGGAGCATTCTCCAAAGAGCAATCTCAGTGGTTTAGGATTCTTTTTAGGGTTGTCACCACACTCTTTCCTTACATTAAAATTAGGTCCTTTTGCACATCTGACCTGGGATACTCACTATAGGTTGTCTGTTGCCCTGCTGCCATTTCCATGAGGTCTGGGATAGACTTACAAATGTTTGAAGTTTTCTAAAAGTGTATCAAGCAATCTCAAAGGCCTGATAAAAGTCATGAATAGTAGTTAATGGCTAGGTTGGAATACTTTTCCACTTAACTGTGTGACCTTGTATAGCCACTTAACCTGGCTGAGCCTCAGTTTCTCATTTACGAAGTGTAGTTAAACCTTCATAGGGTTGAGTTGAGAATTAAATTGAGGTGATATATGAAATGCTTAGCATAGTCTCTCATACATAATAAACCCTTAAGAAACAGTGGCTATAGTGTTATTGGAGGTCTTTTTGGTGAAGGTCAGCCTCCCGGCGTCTGGATATAGAGTAGAGAGGGACCTTCCATTTTCCAACTTTTTAAAATTAAAAAGTGTTTATTTATTTTTAAAGATTTTAAGTAATCTCTACGCCCAATGGAGGACTCGAACTTGCAACCCCGAGATAAAGAGAGCGTGCTGTACTGACTGAGCCAGGCAGGTGCCCCCATTTTGCAACTTCTGTCTCAGTTAATTTATTCATTATAGCTGGGACAGGTGTGGGGTCGCTCCTGGACTTTTTTTGCTGAACTAGAACTGCATGGTCAGTGCACGGTATATGATGCCACTGTGTGGCTAGCACAGGATATGCCTAGTTCTGATCCCTCCCATGAACCTGACTGGTTGGTAGGGATTTAGGTTTTCTGCACTGTCCAATATGGAAGCCACATTTCACATAGTTTTAATTTAGTATTAAAATTAAACAAAAAGGTCCTCAGTTGCACCACCTACATTTCGAAGTGCTCGATAGCTACATGTGGCTAAACCAAATTAGTGTAGCTCTAGTGCATTTCTGTCATTGCCGAAAATTCTATCGGACAACACTGTAAACCCTTTCCCACAAAACCATCCCTGTACCTGATTTGCCTCTTTCTCCACATCCTCCTTAAAAAAATTTTTTTTAATTATATAAATATATATATAATCCTAGGAAAAACATGGCCATTGGTTTGACTCATGGATGTCACTTGATGTGGTTCATTGGGAAATTTTACCTATTTTATTTAGCCTCAATCTCATCATCATAGACTTAATTCCACGTAGTTCATAACGAGGGTGAGAGATAACTAAGAATATATTAAGTATCTAGCATATAGTTAATTTGTCTCCTTCTGTTCAGCCGTGGTTACAGCTAATGCAGAAAAGGCATTCCAATCCCTTCTTGCCCAGACTTATTGGGGTGTGTGGGGGAATGCCTGCAAGCAGTGTTTTGGGATCTTGTCTAGAGTAACAGCACTCCGGCCAGGTAGCCACAAGGCTCCAAGGTCCATCGCCTCTGTTTACTAGAGAAGGGGACACAGGGCCTGAAGGTCCCGAGAGAAAGACTGGGGGTCGGAGTGGGAGCACCCGGGAAAGGAAGGAAACTCCACATTTATGTTTTGATGGGGGAGGTGTGTGTGGTGATTGTGCGGGCACTGGCTCTTCTTTCCTCAGGAGGGGGTTTGAGAGCCAGAAGGAACGACTAGGGACTCGTCCCGCTTTCCTTCGGGCCCCCGAACGTGGCAAGAACCCACCCATTGCAGCGCCAGGCGCCGTGCCTCACTTTCTCCATTTGCGGACTCCAGTTCCCAGGATGCAGAGCAGCGGCCAATCTCCTGGCTCTTCTTCCATCCCCCTCCCGCGAAAGATTGCCCCTGGCCAAGGCAAGGGGGCAGGTGGTTTCAGGGGCCGAGAACTGCAAGGGAACGGAACTAGAAAGTGGCCGGAGTCCTAGTTTCACCAGCCGGGCGGTGAAGGAGGCAGGTCCAGGGCCGGGGCGCAGAGGAGGGGGGCTTCATTCCCACGTGTCTGCACAGTGGCCGGCCCGGCGCAGTCGGGGTTAACCCGAGGCGGAGGGATCCCGCAGCGTGTGCGTAGAACTGCAGAGTCACAACCTTTCCTCCGAGAGGGCCGTATCCCTCCGCCGCTCCGCTCCAACACAAAATAGGGCCGCGTCTTCTCCTTTCTCCGCTTCTAGAGTGGGGTTCCCCAGGCAAAAGGCCCCCCCGGATCTCGCGCCGGAGGCTTCCCGAATCTCCACGACCGCTGCCGAGATCTTGGGCCAGGAAATAGCCCCTTCGCAGGAACCACCCTACCGGCCGAACAGGAGGCGGAGGGGGGGAGGCGGAGCGGCGCCGCGCTGCACTACTTTCCTCTCCGGTTGCAAATGGCTGCCTCGTTCCCCACTTTCCGCTCAGTTTCCTGACCCCCCGGTGCCGGGAGCCGGGGTTGGGCCATGCACCTCTAGGCCCCCCGCGATCACAGCCAGCCGGGGGTCGAAGGGGTGCCGCCGATCAGAGCCGGCCAGGCCGGGGGCGGGGCAGCTCCCGAGGCCAGAGGGGAAGGGAGGCGAGCGCCGGGCCTGGAGCGGCCGGAGGGGAGCGGGCAGAGGGCTCGCACCGCCCGCCCCTTCCTCTTCCTCGCCCACCTACCTTCCTCCCTTCCCCGGGGGGGGGGAGCAGAAGGTGGGGGGCTCGAAGCCTCAGAGGGCGAGCGCTCGGGGTCGAGGAGCCCGGCGTTGGGTGTGTGTCAGGTTCAGCCCCGCGGCCCCGCCGGCTCCGCGTCGCCGTAGCTCGCGCGGCCCCGGGGCGCCGGCCCGGGCGGGGAGAGGGGCTCGCCGCTCCAGCGAGGGTCTCACGTTCCATCCGGGCCCGGCGCGGGGCGGCGCGGCATTCCTTCCGGGCTGCTGGGGAGGCGCCTCGACGTTCCATCTGGAGAGCCTCGACGTTCCGCCCGAGCCCGGCGCGGGCGGCCGGGGCGCTGGCCCGGCCCTAGGACTGAGAGGCCGCCCGGCGACGCGGATGCGGAGCCTGCTCGCCCAAGATCAAAGCCACCGGTGCTCTCTTTGTGTCCGCTCGGGATTCGCCGCCCTGGGGCTGTCCATGGAAACCTAAACTGCTGGAACCCGAGGCAGAGAACCCTTCTTTGGCTTCTTGCTTTTTTTGGGGGGGGGAGGAGGGTGTCCACTCCGACCTGGATTTACCGTTCTTGGCCCCCCTAAGCCCCCCCGTGCGGGGGGCGGCTGTGATCGCTCTGGCGGTTGGAGGTCGGGGAGCGGCCCGGGCTCTGGCCATGTTCTCGGATGAGGATTTCTGGATCGCCCTGTGAAGAGGTGAGTGAAGTCTGCCCAGCCAGGGCCCAGAAAGGGTTGGACTGGGGGCATAGCCAGATGGACTATCTTGGCCGGAGCTGGCCTTTAGGTTGGAGAAAGGGGTGCCAGAGCTGAGGAGGGTTCCTTTGGCAGGGTCTGTCAAGGGAACTGAGCCAGTCGCTGGGGCAGAACTGAGGCCTGGTGTCTGGGGTGTGCCTCTTTAAAGACTGGGGGTTCAGGGAACCACGGGAGTTTGGGAACCTGGCCAGATCGCCTTTCTGCCTGTTTATTTTTGTGTTGGGGGGAAGCTCTGCTAAACTAGGACCCAGGCCCTGATGCCAGCACCAATCCCAGTTGGCTGCTTCTCCCTCAGGGTTCCTTGTGGGCCTTGGGAACAGAACAACTTTGGGAGGGAGGATAGAGTGCCCCTGCCAGGTCAGACTTAATGCCAGGTTGGACTTTAAGGTTGTTCTTGCC